GGAAATAGCTTAAAGAGCTCAAGTTAGCCATTCCTCAGTGAGAGAATAAAAGTTAGCTTACATGACAGTGTCAACAAATTTCTCTTTTGAAATTTTGATTCTGTAATACCAATTTCTATAATTTAACGATAATTTTGCATGTTTGAATGAATGAGATGAATCAATCAAAATCACTCAACATCAAAGAATTAATTAAGTTCATACTTACAGACAGGGCTTGACATTAAAGGGTTACTCCACCCCAAAATGAAAATTTTGTCATTAATCACTTACTCCCATGTCGTTCCAAACCCATAAAAGCTTCGTTCATCTTCGGAACACAATTTAAGATATTTTGGATGAAAACCGGGAGGCTTGTGCCTGTAAATTACACTGTCACGGTCCAGAAAAGTATGAAAAGCATCGTCAGAATAGTCCATCTGCCATCAGTGGTTCAACCGTAACGTCATGAAGCGACGAGAATACTTTTTGTACGTGAAGAAAACAAAAATAACGTCTTTATTCAACAATTCGTCTCCTCCGTGTCTCTCCGCATCACCGTAGCGCCATTTTGGAGAATATGCGCTGAACGCAAGCAGTGTACGCTCTTCTGTGTCAGCCGCGCTGCAAGTGTAAGTGATTAATGACAAAATTTTCATTTTGGGGTGGAGTATCCCTTTAACACTGCCAACCCGATTTCTGTAGTGGCGTTTAACACTTCACTCCCACTTTCCACTTTGCCGGGTTAAATTTTAAATGTTGTCAATGTTGACTGTTTTTTGCTCGATTTGGGTAATGAAAACAGTTCCAAACAAAGATCACAGCACAGTCGCATATCTCTGAGCAACACGCATCGTGTTTTGTTACTGAATGATTCAATGAAAAACGCAATTCATGAAAACAGGCACTTGCTTCATTTTTTATCTATTTTGTTGTAGATCATTAAACCGTTACACTGCCTCAGAAGCCTGTCCAAAATCATGTTTCATGAGGTGCCTTCATGCAAAAACTCTGCCTGCAAAGTCATTGCCTGATAAGGCAGCGAGGCAGCAAGTCAGCTGCCTAGGTTTTACAGATGCAGCCAATGTCAAGCCCTGTTTATAGATATTTGTGCTGTTGCCTTCTCACCAAAATTATGTCACTTCCTGGAGGGTGATGTCACTGAGAAACAGAGGAAGTGGAACAGTTGACTTTATTATTGGAAATACTGATGTAAATTTTATTTTCGGGTTTAAACTCCAAAGATAAACAAGTCCATGCTTATTTAATTTTTTTTATTCATAAATGTAATAAATTTAATTTTTGAGGGCCTAAACATGCTCCAAAACTCATGAAACTTGGCACACGCATCAGAAGTGGCGAAAATTTACATCTGATATGGGTTTCAGAAGTGGGTGTGGCAAAATGGCTCGATAGCGCCACCTGTACACATTCAACGGAGTGTACCTCGAGCTACGTTTTATGTATATGCACGAAAATCGGTACACACGTGTAACACACCATTACATACAAAAAGTCTCTTGGTACAAAAAACAAAATGTGCAGTTTTTGCCATTTCCAGGCCACGTACTTTGACGAGCTCCTCCAACAGTTTAATTGGATCATCTTCAAATTTGGTGACCTTTTTGACAAAAAGGCCTTTTTGACATTAAATTGCGAAGATCTTGAGTTTTCATCAAAGGGCGTGTCCCTGACGGCCTGACAAAGTTTGATGTTTCGCCATGAAACAGGAAGTTGCTGTAACTCAGGCAAGAAATGTCCAATCTGCCCCAAACTTCACACGTTTGATAGGTGTTCTGTCCTGAACACATATCCATGCCCATATTCAGTTATAATCATAGCGCCACCTCCTGGCAACAGGAAATGTCATGGTTAACACTGTTATGGACTCCTAGGAACATATTAAAAAGCATCAACAAGTGTTAAAGGTGGGGTAAGCGATTTCTGGTAGCCAATGTTGACATTTGAAATAACCAAAACAAACACGCCCCTACCCCAAAAGGATCTCGCCCCTATTTTGATAGCTCTGCCCCACACATACGTGCGCAACCCAGGCAACGATTAGTTCTGTGAAACAAAGCAAAACCAATGTTACACCGTGTCTACACCAGACACGAGTGGCGTGGCGTGACAAAATACTATGGAACTCATTATAATCAGTGATGCTGTCTACACCATAGATCAGTGGTTCTCAACCTTTTTTTCCACTGGGCCGCACTATAGTCCAAGTGCAAGTCTCACGGGCCACACGCATATCATTTACATATTACATCACCAATACAAACCAACCAGATTTATAATATTATAGCCTAAATATTATGATATCTAATCGATTACATTAATTGAAATTTCTGCAATTAAGGTTGATTGCTGCGTACTGGGTGTTTCCTTTTGTCTGATCATCTTCAAGTGAGCGGCGGGCAAACCGAAAGTTTGCACTCTCCTTCACTGCTGATGCTGTGACTATTCTTGTTTGTATGTGTTCCTTCGCTGGCATTTTCCACATTTCGTTTTTCTCCCTTAATAATAAATTTGTCCATTCTGATGCTCAATTTTACCGAACTGCCAAAGTGCGCACTTGTAAGTGTTTGTTAAATGCATAACTCTAATTACGTGAGTAGCCTACAGGTCTGCTAATGTCTGAAAATAATAAATGAAAGACTATATTATTTTACATAACAAAAACATTATAGCTTATAATTGTTTAGTACATTTTTTAATTAATGTAAAAAACTAAAATGAATTGTAAAACTGAAATAATTATGTGTTCCTTCGCTGGCATTTTCCACATTTCGTTTTTCTCCCTTAATAATAAATTTGTCCATTCTGATGCTCAATTTTACCGAACTGCCAAAGTGCGCACTTGTAAGTGTTTGTTAAATGCATAACTCTAATTACGTGAGTAGCCTACAGGTCTGCTAATGTCTGAAAATAATAAATGAAAGACTAAATTATTTTACATAACAAAAACATTATAGCTTATAATTGTTTAGTACATTTTTTAATTAATGTAAAAAACTAAAATGAATTGTAAAACTGAAATAATTTTTTTAAAATTGTGTTCAGCACGGTGGGCCGCATTTGAATTTGTGACGGGCCGCGGGTTGAGAACCACTGCCATAGATATATATACATATCTATGGTCTACACTGGATGCGGCGCGGCACGACACGACACGACACGACACGACAAATCCCCGACAGAAAACTGCTGCTACGTTCTATTTATGACGTATTGACACACATTTCAAATGATTTTGAATGGTCACTTTGTCGGGTCCAGTGTACTAGACAGACTTTAGCTGTTGCGGCGCAGACAAGCTGTTACTCACCTATCGAGAAGAAACAAAGCAACCTCAGCTTCCGATCGCAGGCCTTCCGCTCCTTGAGTTCTCTCCAGCGCTGGAAAGCTGATCCGATATTTACACGGGTCCTACTTCTTGCCTTATTGCCTTAAGCCTTCTTTTGTTCCGCAGGCGTTTTCCTCTTTTGTTTTTTGTCCGACATCTCTATCTTTCTGTCGCTCGGCTCGGCTAATATCCATCCTGTGCACTTTTACACGGGTCCTCCACATCATGAATAGACACGCCCCTTACTGCTGATTGGCTACAAGTTTGTTTTGCTACTCGGCCCGAATCCGTTTTCTAAAGCGTTTTTGAAAAATCACTTACCCCACCTTTAAATAGGTTGGCAACATGCTAGAAACATACTAAAATATGCTAGCAACACTTAGCTAAGTGTTAAAGCATGCTATTAATGCAGTGAATCGGGAAGTTGATGTAATTCAGGCATGCAGTGTCCAATCTGTCCCAAACTTAACATATTTAATGAGAGTCCTGGCCTGAACACATCTACATGCCAAGATTCAGTTATAGTCGTAGCGCCATCTACTGTCAATAGGATGTGACATGTTTAACACTGTGATGCACTATTAGCAATAGAGTAAAATATGCTGTTGTGTGCTAAACATGCTAGAAATATGCTCAAACATGATAGCAACACTTACTAAGTTCTAAAGCATGCTATTAATGCCATGAAACAGGAAGTTGTTGTAACTCATGCATACAATGCCCAATCTGCCCCAAACTGCACACGTTTTATAAGAGTCCTGGCCTGAACACATCTAAAGGCCAGTATTCAGTTATAATTATAGCGCCACCTGCTGGCAACAGGAAATGACTTGTTTCACACTAACTAAAAACATGCAATGTCCGATCTGCCCCTAACGTCAAGTGTTTGGTAAGAGTCCTGGCCTGAAAACGTTTACATGCCAATATTCAGTTATAATTTATAGCGCCACCTGTTGGCAACAGCACATTTCATGTTTTACACTAACTCAAACATACCATGTTCAATCTGCACCAAATTTCACAGATTTGATCAAAGTCCTGGTCTGAAGACATCTACATGCCTACATTCAGTTACAGTCATAGCGCCACCAGCTGGCAGTAGGAAGTTTGGCACATATAAATGACTCCTCCTATATTTATCAGTTTAAATGCATATTGCCCATCGTTAGCTGTTTTCCTAAAGCCACCAGGTGGCGGTGAGCCCGGGTGCGAAGGCCCTTTCATCGCTGCTTGCAGCTTTAATTTTGTATTGTAATTTCGTGATTGTATCGCTTGTTCTGTTTTTGATCAATAATAAAAAAGTTTTTCTAAAAGCTTTAATCTGTAGTTTTTTATAAAAGAAGTGATGTTGAGTACATGAAACCCTACAAAATATTCACCTATTAAAATAAACCAAATAAACATGTTTAGTTTGAAAAAAAGAAGAGAAACTTCTTGAACATTTCAAAGTGAGGAATGATTTAAAATGATCACTTAATTATTTTATTGAGATAAAAGAAAACAGCACAACTAAAAGAGTTTTGAAGAAGTGAAAGTAGGGGATCTTGTTGATGAGGAAAACAAAAACAGTTGTGGAAGTATTTTGTGGAAGTACAGCATGTGCAGTCATGTACAATATTGCTCAAGAGAAGGATAGGATGCATTATAAATGCACAAGTGACAATTGTCAGATGACAAATGGGAGCTGGTGCAGTAATGCTGGAGACACTGCTATTAGGCTGAGGTGAGAGACTGTCTTGTTATTTACAAGAATTATGAAAATGTACTCTAAACCACACGGAAATGTGTTTGCCTTTTTGTCTGCAGAGATGTTTAAATTCATTTTTAGATATTATAAATATTCGATATTTACGTATGACAAGCTTTTTACTTATTTTCTCTTTATTGATTAACAGAACCAAATCTATTGTAGCTAATCTAACTTAGCCTATATTTAAGTTTTAAAACATAACTTTTTTCAAAACTGAATCTTCAAGAAATTACTTTGAACCCTTGGGTTGAAATTACATACTGCTAAGCAATAATAATCTAGGAACAGTGATTGTGGTATTACTGATATTTATCATTAACAAACTTTCTATTTGTTGTCTGCTTGCAGGGACTCAACAGAATTTACAATGGATTCAGCAGATTTTGTATTTGACCCTAATTACATTGATTATGATAACGTCACCCCCTCTGGCAATTTCCCTTCTGAAGAAGTTTTTTTCCACGTCCACACCACCACATGTTTCACTGAGGTTCTTTGCCTGTTGTTGCTGGTGATCAACGTGATCATCTGTCTGCTGGGCCTGGGAGGAAATGGTGCGGTTATCTGGATTGCAGGGTTTGGCATGAAGAGGTCAGTCAATACTACCTGGTACCTGAGTCTGGCTGTATCTGACTTCATATTCTGCGCCTGTTTGCCTTTTAACATCGCCAACAGCGTCACATCGGACTGGATCTTCGGCCTCTTCATGTGCAAGTTCACTTCCTTTGTCATGTTCCTCAACATGTTCAGCAGCATCTTCCTCCTTGTCATCATCAGCGTGGATCGCTGCGTCGCCGTCATGTTTCCTGTTTGGGCACAGAATCACCGCACTACTGGAAAAGCATCTGTATTGATCGTACTCGCGTGGATTGCCTCTGCAGCTTTAAGTATCCCGTCTATCGTATACCGTGATGTCCAGAGTCACCTAGGTATAAACCATTGCATTAACAACTACAAATCCAGCCAGTACAGCCACAAATTCATTGCCATGAGTCGCTTTGTTTTTGGATTTGTCATCCCTTTCATCCTCATCATTGTTTGTTATACCGTTATCATCCTCAGACTGAGAGCCACCCAGATGGCAAAGTCCAACAAACCGTTTAAGATCATGACGGCTCTCATTCTGACCTTCTTCCTGTGCTGGCTGCCGTACCACACGTTTGTGCTTATTGAACTAAACCAGACCTTCCACAAAGAGGCCATTATTCTCGGACTGAAAATTGGCACCACTGTCGCCGCCGCAAACAGCTTCCTGAACCCCGTTTTGTACGTTTTCATGGGCAATGACTTCAGGAAGAAGTTCAGGAGCTCCATCTTATCAAAGATTGAGAATGCCATTGGAGAAGACGGTCGAATGATCAGCCGCTACCTGTCTCGCTCCAGCTCAGTGGATGCCAGGGCGTCCACTCATATCTAAAGAATAAACTGGAAGTAATATTTTTTCAGTTATTTTTTTTCAGTAGGGCTGTCAATTTAATGCATTCATTTAAAATAATTAATCTTAAACTAAACTAAAATAACACACTGAAGTGTGCCTCCTAACTGTAAATGCCATAATAAGGACACTGTTATACACTGTAAAAAAAAAAATTATATTTTAAAAGTCTTTAAAATTTCATGTTTAATTCAATGTGTTACTTGCTTTTTCTTTGTAAAATTTACTAGCAACTTCTGGATGAAAATTTGTTTCAACACAAATTTTTGTGTGTGAAATATCTGAGCCAAAAAGCCTCAAACTTGACTACAAATGGTCAAAAAGCGAAAGAAACGTAAAAAAGCAAAAAGTAAATGTTGCATTACATCCATCTATATTTGATAAAATATGTACTTTTATACTTAAAAAAAAATCACTTATCCATCTTTGATCTGAGCAATTTAAAGGGGTGGTTGACTGATTTTTTTATAGGCCTGTTTGTGTTTATGGGGTGCAGTCTAACATGTGTTAACGCATTATTTTTCACATAATTTACCTTTATTCCACACCGCTCTGTCCCTTCTCCTCTGAACGCGCTGATCATTTCCTGCTTTTATGAAGCCCCTCCCTCAGAAATACACGATGGGCTCTGATTGATTAGCTGGCCCAGTGTGTTGTGATTGGCTAAACCGCCTCTAGCGCGTGTCTAAACGTCCCGCCCCTCAACATAGCGGCATGTGCTCCGGTTGTATTGTAAACAATGACATTGTCTATATTGCTTATCAGTTTGAGCCCGATTGTAGAGGATTGCACAGAACCTGTTCAAGCACGGCTCTTAATGGTAGGCCTAAGATTTTTGTCTGTTTTTGTCTCATACTTTTAGATACGCTGTTATTTCTAAATGCTACTGCTTCTGTTAGCTTTTAATATACGGTTTTATTCTGATTAAAGCTTTAATACCGTTCGGTAACCACACGCGCGTCCATGTATAACGCTTCTCATAGCTATAGTATGTGAAAATAAGTGTATTCACTGAGCTGATGAGCTGAATGAGAGAGAAAGAGAGAGAGAGATGCAGAGCGTGTGCAGAGCAGGGAGAGGCCAGGAACAGGATGAGAACGCTGTTTTAGAACATTTTGAAACTTGTGAATCCATTAGAATCGTTAGAAGACAGAATCGCGATTCATATATGAATAGATTTTTATATGCACCCCTAGTTTTCTCTTCCTCTTCTCTAAAGCAGCGCAGCTTGGCCTCGCCCTATTCCTCGCTGCGTGTTCCCGGAGGCGGGGTTTATGTAAAATTCTGGGTTCTTGATGTAACGGACCTGGGAAGTAACTCGTTGTAGTCCCTTACCAGCCGTTTTTGTAGGCATTAAACTGCCTGAATTTTAAAAGACGATATCTCCGTTTGCATTGAACGTTCAGCTTAGTAACTTTGCAGATATTGTTTATGCTCAAACAGCAACATTACACACTAACTAACGTTAAAAAAGTGAAATCGCAATCAACCACCCCTTTAAGCTTGAAATACCACCAAATAGATTGTGTTTCACTGGATGCATTGTTGCATTCAAAACTGCTTGAGTGCAGCAAAGTTACATGTTTTTAATAGTTAAAACTACTTTTAACTTTACTTTTAAAACTACATCTTGAAACATGGTGCGCAAGATGCGTTTAGAGACTAGAAACCTTTTATATAAACAGACCAAAAATAAGGTGAATGGGGAAAACCTGTCCTCTGTGAATGACCTGTAAAGTCATGTTTGTACAATGATATAAAAATACAACTTATTTTGACTTCTAAAGCCACTTTTTAAATAGGCTATAAATTATATTCAATTACTTACTTGTCTGCCACAATTTTTTACTTGTCAAAACTTTCATTTTGGGCTTTGTAATTAGTATATGCAATTAATTTGAATACATTTTTAAATGATTTACAATCTTAATTTTTAGGTATTTATGGTGATATATCAGACCATTATTATGCATAATGCAAATGGCTTCTTGATGTAAGCTAGCATACTTTAATCTTCATAATCACATGCACAGATCTTGTACAGATCTGAACATTATTGAACTTCCCTGTGACTAATACATCTTTTTGTACACTAATACACACTTCAGCATCAGTTTGGTGTATGTTGACCTGCTCACTGCATTGCGCTACATTCTCGGTTTTTAACCTCAAACCAACCCATCGCTGACTATCAGATAAACAGAGCAACTTGAATAGGGTACTTGATAAGTGTGGCCGTCGACAGTCTCAGTTCTCAGAAATGTGCTTGCATCTTACAGAGGAACTAGGTGTTAAAATGTTTGGCCAGTAGCTCAGTCTGCATTTATCAGCAAACAACCCAGCAGCAGAAGGTGATTTCTATTGATTTCAAACGGCATTGTGAAGCTTACTTTGTGAGGTAAGTTATCTTCAGATGACATCAGAACCAATTCAAGATAATATGTGCATATGATCATACAGTGAACACTTGTTTTCGGTTAAATTTTAAAGACAGAGCAGCAAAAGAATTAGGATGCATACGATTAACAATTCCATGTTGCAATAGAATATTTTCCAAATTTTGGATTGCAACCACCTTTAAAAGGTGGTAGATATCAGATATAACACAAAACGAGACATTACACCCTCCTCACTTTAAGTTTCGCTTAAAGTTGTACTTAAAATTAAAATGGGAATAGCACGTCACATGTGTTCTGTGGTTCTGTGTGGTTTAAACACTTAACTAGATTTTTAAGTAGCAAATTAGGCAATTTCCTTCATACAAACAGGCATGCATGTAACCCATCAAAGGGAATTTAAGGTCAAATGATTATCAGAAAAGTACAAGCAGTTTATGGTAAAAATAAGGGAAGCTATGGGAGAATTCTGCTAGCATTGTGCTTTTTATTGGTCTTTTTTGACAGCTCTGCTTGGAATGATATATTGTATGCATCATGCAGAACTTGTTCTGTTATTTTACTACTGAGAGGAATGTTTTTTAATGGTGAAATGTTAACTATTGGTTAACTCTGGTACATAGCATCAAATGGAAATATTTAAGTTTAAAATTGTACACGGTCCCTTCAAAACAAAACAAACCAGGAACACATAACTTTTAAATCTTTTTGTCATCCTAAAAAAACAAAGCACTGCATAATGTAGTGCAGCAGATCAGTGCAATAATTTCAAATATGGGGGGGGGCAGATTGTCCATTTCTAATTATTTGAAGTCCCCCCAATGTCTATGGTGGTTACAGCCCGGCTTCAGTTTAAATGCATTTGGATAAATTGCATATTGTTTTTGTTACAGAACTCTGCTTCCTATTCAGTTCTAATGGAAGACACAATGACTCCAGATTATTATAATTATTTACAAGAGTTATCTGTAGACAGCCATACGAAAGAAGAGAAACTTCATGTGGCTACTGAGGTACATCTTGGCTACTGCAGGGAAGCAGCATGTGTAATTACAGTGATCTTTAATGTGATCATATTCCTTCTTGGCATCATTGGAAATGGTGCGGTGATCTGGATTACTGGTTTTAAGATGAAGAAGTCAGTGAACACCACCTGGTACCTGAGTCTGGCTCTGTCTGACTTCCTTTTCTGCGCTACTCTCCCTTTCACCGTTGACTACATGGTGAAGAACAGCTGGATCTTTGGGCCCTTCATGTGCAAGTTCAACGCTTTTGTTATGACCCTCAATATGTACAGCAGCATTTTCATCCTGGTCATCATTAGTGTGGATCGCTGCATCACCGTCAAGTTTCCCGTCTGGGCCCAGAATCAGCGCACTGTACAGAAAGCTTCTGTAGTTGTTATGTTAGCTTGGTTAGTGTCTTCTTTGCTTAGCATTCCATCTGCCAAATTCAGAGAGATTATGAATATAAACATATGCTATAGCAACTATGAGAATCACCACAAAACCGTTGTGTTCATGCGCTTTACTTTTGGGTTTTTGATTCCATTCCTGACCATCTTCACCTGTTACTCCATCCTGATCCGTAAACTTAGAGCAAACCAAATGTCCAGATCCACCAAGCCCTACAAGATCATGACATTACTGATCACAACTTTTTTCATCTGTTGGTTGCCATTTCAAATAGTTTCCGTTTTAGAGTTGGACCGAATTGAGTACAGCTTTGCCTTTCACACAGCCCAACGAGTATCCGCCACTCTCGCCAGTGCAAACAGCTTTCTAAACCCGTTCCTCTATGCATTCATGGCCAAGGACTTAAAGAAGAAATGCTATTCCTTTCTTTCCAAGATTGAGAGCGCCATCGATGAGGAGACCCGAAGTGCTTTCAGAGCAACTTCAATTACCAATTCTGTGGATAACAGACATTCCACTGTTGTCTGAAATTTTAACACGAGTCATGCACTAAAGAGAATGCTGGCCCATAAAAACGACTTGGCATTAACAAGTAGTGCAGTTGTTTTGTCTGTTGCATGTTTGAGTTTGGAAATTTACAAGTAGAAGTTAACATTTTTAAATAGATGTTCAATATAAGGTACTTTACAAGTCATTATATATTTTTAAAAATAATTTTGCAGAATTCTACGACAGCTATTAAATATTTACAGTTTTTATTTAACCATTTAAGTTACTGATTAACGCATGGGGGTGGGTTAAAAGAATTTGGGGTTTTTGAATGTATGTATTAAACATAATTTGGGCAAGATCGACAAATGTTGTCATGCTCCACATCTCTCTCTCTCTCTCTCTCTCTGTTTTGCTAACATATGCATAAAAATATATAATAAAAATCTTGTTCTAACCATTCTGTTTCCTTAAGTGCTGGGAATTCTCTTAATTATTTAATATGCTTATTAATGAAATCCATACACAATACATTCAGAAAGACACTTCAGCATTGTTCATTTTTGATATGATAAACATTGCGATACTTCCTATCTTTCAATACTTCCTGCTTATATGCATTGCAGAAATATATTTGCATGTATTTGGTAGTTTATGCTTTATTTTCTATGATTTATAGACCACGCTTAGTAAAACTAGATGCAGGGCTGAAGACTGTAACTCAAATGTTCGTAATGTAACAAAATTTAAAAATGTAAAGGGTCATATAATGCTACATGCACTTTTACAAATTGTTTGAACTGAAATGTGTGTTGGCAGTGTATGTACACAACCACCCTAAAATGATAAAAATCCACCCAGTGTTTTTTTTGTTAATCTACTAAAATCTTTACCCCTTTCACAAATAGAGCCGATCTCAGATGCCTGTCTGTGTGACGTCACACACGTGAGGCCCCTCCCACGATAGTTTGATTGACTTGATCTTACCTTAGACCTGCCCTGAGTGAGCTGTCATCACGCCGCCACTGTTTGACCCCCGGAGCAGATGTAGACAAGAATGACTCCTAAGCGATTGCGGTGTTCTGTTGTTGGATGTAATAATGAACATAGCAGTCCTCATTTACTCCCGACATCTGAGCCACTGAACTCGCAGTGGATTACATTGTTTCTGAAGGGAATGCTCCCCCGATCTACATAAATGCGTCTATGTACGCGCGAATCATTCATGATCCAGCCTCATCTACAGAAGAAGTGTGTACGTTTTTTTTAACGAATCTTTGCAAATCGCCTTTCCTAATAATGTGCTAATTAGCAAGTTTCACGATGAATGCAGCTAAAGTAAACAGTCTCTCTGAGAGCAGAATGGAAGAGAGGGGCGGGGTCAGCAGAGCTCATTAACATTTAAAGGAAAATGCTACAAATCTGCATGCTCTGAAAAGAGCTGTTTTTTACGGAAGTTCTAAGCGGCCATGCATTATTTATTTTTCCCTTCTTGTTTTCTCATTATAACGACTTATTTTCTCGTTATATCGACATAACGAGAGTTGTTTTCTCATTATAACGACTTATTTTCTCGTTATATCGACATAACGAGAGTTGTTTTCTCGTTATAACGACTTAATTTTCTCGTTATATCGACA